AACTTTTTGTTGTTAGCTTGCATGATCAAGTTCTTCTGATACTTCCCAGCTAATTTTTACATTCAACGGTCAACGGTCTGGACGTCTGTTTATTCATTCAACTCTTTACATTTGAGTCGAGTGCGGGAAAACCCGAAGAAAGCGGGTTCAAAATAGCCTCATATAATTTTAAGATGATCATATTTTGAAAAAAAAATACAACAGTCAACAGTTTTCAATGTGTGGCCAGTCAGCTGGTATTTTTTTTACCCAAATTTTCTTTAACTGTCAGATTTCTAGAAAAATCGTTATCCATATAGGTCCTTTTTTTTATTTTCTCCTGAACCCATAAAGAAATAGCAAGATAATAAGAAGAATTGAGAAAAACAGTTCTATATTCAGCAAAGAACGATAACACATAAAAAAAACTGAGACTTATAAATAAATATTATGTGCAGCTTTAGTATCTGAAGAGCATACGAAGACAAAAATATCTTCGTTGACTAAAATAATTTTCATACAGTGTAATTAAAATAAAAGAAGGTTCAATCTGCCACATCCATGCTAACATACAGACTTTGGTCTAGGTTGACTTTTACTACATATTCAAATCATTTTCTCCTAGCAGAATATGTTCACAATGATAAAAGCACTCACACAATATTGGGATAAGCAATAACGTCTGTCACAATATTGGAAAAACGATAACATATATAACGTTGACCCGTTATAGGAAAAGCATTAAAAGTCTATCACGTAGGACAGATGAAAGTTGGGCCAGTCTGAATCGTTATATTGATATTACAACCCAAGGCTATCCAAAGTTTGCAAGAGCTTGGTCGACCAGTTGGTTGCTTTTCTCATTAAAAAAAAAAATTACTAAATTAAAAAAAAAATACACAGAAATACTCAAAAGCGATTTGTCTTAGGGATTCCCAGTCAAATTTATACAAATCTCTACAGTAGTGAGACCTATAATAGTTATCCATCATGTCGGAGTGATCTGAAAGCATTGGCTAACACTTGATTCAATATCATAGCAAGGTACCACTGGGCTCGGGCTCAAGAAAAAGACTAAATGACCTTTTTCCTCCCCCCCCCCCCCCCAACACAGGCACCTAAAAGCTTTAAGCATCCAACTATCACAATAACATAGGAATATAGAAACCATTAGCAAAGAAAACAGTATTAATTTTACTTGGAACTTGGATCTAGATTTCAAGCATTCTGTTTTTTTAGTAATGATTGAATTAAAAGAAAGAAGTAGGCCTAACTTTGTAACTTTGATAGTAAGCCTATTTATCACATGTGTCGTTCATTTTCTTCAGTTCTTTCTTTATTAAATCTAGATCTAATGCGAAAAACAAATTCGAACGTTAAAACTGAATCAAACTAAATCAAAGAAAAATTTGAAAGAAATAATTTTACATAGCCCAGTTTTTTACCCAGTAATTGTAAATTACTAATATTAGGGCGTACAATCATAGCCATAACATTAATATAAAGGTATTGGATCCAGCTATAATTGTTCATAAATAACAACATTGAATCTTCATTGTATCCTGACAACACTACAATTAATCGTCAGTGACAGGTAACGCTATAGTCTACTAATTGACAATATGTATAATACCTGAATTTAGAAAAAAGAGCATCAAATAACAAAGATTTCGAGGAAAAAATTGTTCTAAGATCTAAATGCACTGTAATCTTTGTCATGTGACATTTCCAGTTGTGTTCGTTCGCTGTTTTATTTGAATGAGGAAGGGCGAGTTTTTGAGCAGAAATAACAGGCTTGATGGACTGACATTAAATATCAGACTTCGTATATTGCTTGTTTATAATTATCAATAATATAATAAGTAACATAGCGTGTAACATACAATTTACGGAAAGAGATTTCCCAGCTATTAATATTTATATATCAGGATTTAAAAGTATGCTATATTGACAAAATACCCACGTCTATATACGTCAATTTTCTTTAAGTATCATCTAGAATTTATAAGATAATTTAAAGCTTTGCAAATAATAATCTTTCCGTGTACTAAACATCAATTAATAGTATCTATAAGTTTTTATCCGAATGTGTTTGTAGAGTATAAATGTGTATGTAAAGTATAAATATGTATGTAAAATTCAAATGTGTATGAAGAGAGTGGTTGGTAAAAAGATGAAATACATGCCTGAAAAAAATTGCGTTAAACGAGTTTTAAACCTTTACTATTACGAAGTTATACTTTGAAAATACAATTTTTGTAAGCTTCTGCTATCCTCAAATAATAGTTTAGAAAAATAAAATTGAAGTGTCCAAAGAGTACTCATTGTGATTGTAAGAGATGAATCCTTCTAGCACAAATAGAACAATGGAAGAAATTCTCGCTAGATCTTTAAATGTCAAGATGTTTGATCAAACTCTTGTCCCAGATAAAACCTTTTCTTGGTTCTCTTTGACTGTTGACGGGTGGGCATCTTTTGTTGTCGCTTTCCTCGGGATATTTACTAACGCTCTAACCATTGTCGTCTTTACCAGAATGGGATTCAAGGAAACCGTAAACATCACCATGACAACCATAACCTTGTGGGATATGGTCCGAGTGCTGTGTGGCTCCATTCACAGGTGCTACAGCCTCATCGCCCTTGTGTCCGAGTCTCTGGGCAGGTCGTGGCAGAACATCACCACCACAAACCTGGTCTACTTGCACAACATCGCCAGCAACATTGCCTACGCCCTGGGCAGCTACGTAGCCATAGAGAGATGCTTATGTGTAAGGTTTCCCCTTAAAATCAAACTAATCATGTCGCCAATGGTAACACTTAGCATCTGTGTGACTGTATCCATTGTTGTATTCGCCATGTTTTTTCCATCAATGTTGTTTTTAAATTACCGCTGGGTTAGTGCCCCTGACAGTGACCAGCCAGTAGCCAAGTATGAGTTCTCGGACTTTTATAAACTTCATATCAAACGTTACGTAGAATTTTACCAGTACATCAATTTTGCCTGCCCGATGGTCAGTTTGGCCACGATGGTCATCAGCAGCCTGGTCATTTTATTCCAACTGAGAAAAGCATCCAAGTTCCGAGCGAGAAGTCAACTGCTCGAAGCGAAAGTAACAGTACGAGATGGTCAAGTGGTCAAAATGTTACTTGTGGTCATCGCATCCTATATTACAGTGCTACTGCCAAGGCTGTTCATCTATATCGCTGAACTCCTTGTACCAGAGTTTTTCGTGTTGAAATTTTACAACAATATTTTCGGCATTGCAGTGTATCTAGTCTTCCTTCTGGATTTCATTAACTCCTCCGTAGGAATACTGATCTTCTATTCCATGAGCACAAAGTTTAGAAAAAATGTTAAGTTGTTATGGACTTCAATATTACATCTGAGACAGCAAAAAGAGCACATTTTAAATTTAAAACATGCAAATTGATATATTAAAAGTATGAAGTGATGGAATTAATTAAGTAATGGATTGTGAAATTATTTTTTAATGCTAGTTACCTATCTTATAAAATACAGATGTTACTTCAAAAAAGAAGATGATTACGTCCTACGCGACATGCATCTAATGATCTATAATCTATGATCTAGTCATGCTTGTTATTGTTAACCAATGTATGGCTTAAATTCTGTTAAGTCATTGGTTTCTCTGGCTGACTCAGGCAACCCATTCCATGCTCTACTAGCAATAGGGAAAAATGAATATTTGATACTGTCTTTACTCTAGATCAATATGGTAAATTCGTAACAGAAGGGCCTCCCGTAAGCGCTATAAAGATCTACTCGGGCGCCATTTCGCTCTCACTGGCATAGAGGAAAGTAGCTGGCAGCAGATGGCCTCTAAAATAAACAGTTGGAGAACTCACACAAAAGCGGCGGGACAAACATTTGAGACCCAAAGAAAAGCCATTATTGAAGACAGGCGAAGAAGACGGAAAGAAAACTTTAAAAGACTGCCAATGGACAACGTCTTTGTCTGCACAAAATGCTGGAAGATATTCAGGTTGCAACTGGGTTTGCGTAGTCATGTGAAATACTGCACTCATCTTTAATCTTCGGAATCGAAGACATTGCCATCAATATGGTAAATTTTATTAAGCAACCCTCTTATGCAAGCTGGCTGGTGTGAATGTATGTTTTTGGTTTTCTATAGTTTTAATGTTTTATTTGGTGAAATGCACAAATTGTAAGACAAATTTTCTTATGGGTAATAAAGATTATAATTATTATTAAATTTACGTAATTATCTCCCTTGTAAAAAAAAAAATGCAGTGAAAAATATACCCTAATGCCACAAATGTTTTAACTGTGTAACAAAAGATTACACTCATAGTGAATCTGAGAAAAGCATTGTATCAAATTTTGCACAGAAGAATGATATAGCTATGGAATGCTTATCAAGAAAATGTAAATAGATTTATATAGCTGTGAATTTTAAAAATCTCTGGAGCTTATGTTTTAGTTGAATCTACTATTTTGTTTAAAGGATCTCAAAGGAAACTTAAGATCTAGAAAGAATATTGATAAGTGATTTACAAAATCACTACTTATAATGTTCTCCTTTCTTCATAATTTTGTCATTTTTATTGATCTCAATTATCTTTCTGGCCACTTTTTAAGCTCTGTTTTATAGAAATCACTATCATCATCAAAAACATTTATGTGGGCTTGAGAGGCTCATTTCATCTCTTCCAAAAGCCATAAATTCTGGACAAAAGCCCTGGTTTAAAATTCTAAACAAAAGCCCTGAATGAAAATTCTAAACAAAAGCCCTGGTTGAAAATTCTAAACAAAAGCCCTGGTTGAAAATTCTAAACAAAAGCCCTGGATGAAAATGCTGAGAGAAAATCACTACAACAGATTTAATTTTTTGTTTTTGAGACTGTGGCGATAAATGGGTTAACATGTAAATCAAACAATTCATTTAAATATAAAGCATCTTCCAGATGACAACACATTAGCTTAGAATGAAACCATCAATTTGTTCTTGAACAATACAACAAAAAGAAATTTTAACCAGTTTGTACTTTTTACTTGTTTAATGTTCCAATTTCCACCCATCATTGTGAGTCAATCAATATTTACATCAGTTAGTTAGTAGGAAATATAATCTATACAAAGTACATGTATTAAGTAATCAATCATCCTACTTCACAGATAGGGTAGGACAAAGTTTACCCGTGGTATGGAATGTTTGCCAAATATAGCAAATAGGTGCAGAACTAAATGTGCAAAACATTATATGCAAGACAGACCAAACTATAAATTATACATATAAAACTATCTTTTATACCAAATCAATTTTTGTTTTTCTTAAATTCGGATAAAAGAATAATGAAAAATGAGAAATGAACCGAAATGACAAAAATGTTAAGAATATAACCTAATATTTTCCTCATACAGATCTGCTTCTTTGAGACACAACCTAACTTGCAAAGATAAAAACATCTGTCCAATGCTAAGATTTAGGAGCTCCTTAACTTCCTAGTGATAAAAAAAGATTTCTTACTTAGGTCAAAACTGAAAGCAATATCTGACATGAAAATAAAATATTGTGGATACAAAGAAAACATTTTAACAAAAAAAATTGTTAACATCACACACGCAACTTTTTTTTTTACTGCCAAATAATTTAAACCGAAATTAAAATCAACTAGCTTTGTGGTTTTTTGTTACTTAAAAAAACACAGGACATCAAATAAACTGAGAAGTTTGGTACAATATAACAGGCTGCATTTTCTCATCAATTATGAAACAATGGATAGATAATGAAATAAAAACTATATAGCTTCAGTTGTAAGAACGGCAAATAACTTCAGCCCAAGTCACTGTGTTTTATGTTGGCTAACTTAGAAAAACTTAGAAATGATATCTAAATAATTTAATTAGCATTTTGTTGAACATATTCTTTCAAGTCCAAACATACAAGTCAATTGACAAAATATGGGGAAATATGTTAGATTGAAACATGGGGACTAGGAAAGGGCATCGTCGTTAAGAGGTAAAGCCCTTGGCTTCTGAACCAAAGGTTCTCAGATTTGAATCTTGGTCTAGACTGGGTTTTTAAATTTTGGTATTTACAAGATGCTCCTGAGTCCACCAAACTAAATGGGTACTGGACGTTGGAGAAATTAAATTCAGCTAGCCACTAGACACCCTGCCACACATTGGCCATAGAAATAGGTGACATTTAACATCATCTGACTATAAATTGCTAAGTCTGAAAGGGGAACTTTTTATTTGCTTTAAGTGGACCATGTGATCTGCAACAAATCCAAAAACAGAAAAAAAAATACCAACTTTTCAATCTGTACTTCATTTTTCTTACCCACTTCTACAGAGGATAACAAATATGTAATTCCTTGACAAAAGGTAAAACATTTATTTTATTAATTGTTCCTTAGTTATCCCATGTCGTTAAAATTTTTTTGTCAGAGTGAAAGAGTGGAAATTGTAATTCTCTTGTTTGATCTGCATAACTTTCTTTCTAAGCTCATAAGGCTTCACTGCATAGAATGATACGGTATTCAAAATGTTAATTTCAAAAGAGGGGACCTTTATTCTAATACAGCCTTCAATGACTTTTCCTTTTTTATTTATAATTTACAAACAGAAAAGTATTCACACCCATTCAGACATAATATCACAAAATTTATAAACAGCTTGAGATTTTTTAAATATTGTATACATAAAAGTGACAAAATTAAGAAGTGAAAAAAATAGTGTATATGTCTTTTATTTGCAGTAAAAGGGGGATGTCAAAAATGACTTCAGAATATGTTATCACATACAACATACTTAGACAATGTATGTTTTCACATACAACATACTTAGACAATGTATGTTATCACATACAGCATACTTCATACAACATACTTAGACAATGTATGTTATCACATGCAACATACTTAGACAATGTATGTTATCACATGCAACATACTTAGACAATGTATGTTATCACATGCAACATACTTAGACAATGTCAAACTTCTTCATTGTCATGTTCTATGTACACAGTAACGGCCCAAATATAATGTTCATCATATGCTATTTATACATCTGTCAAGTCATGCACATCTAGCTGCTCATGGAAGACAGTGTTATCATCAAGAAGTACAAAAAATCAAGAAATAAATAAACAAAAAACAAAACATAAAACCATATTTATTACATACTAGAAGAAAAAATGCAGTGAAAAAAAAAAAGTAATGCATCAGACAAAACAGCAAGGATTTTTCATGACTTCTGGTTTAGGTTTGTTGGATTAATATTCTATGGCCTCCTTCATGGACTAAGGCTCATCTCATGGAAATGAGATGAATGCCTGGGCATTAGCTGTGGCCATTACGATGGATCAATATATAGTGCCTCAAAACCACAAGTTCTTTAAGGACATTTTTTTCTGCTGTAGAGAACAAATACACATGAAAATAGTACATTTTACAAAACAAAAGTTAAGCTTGTTAGGCTTTTTTTTATTATTTACTAATATTTTATATAATGGCAAAAAAAAATATTTCTAATACATTTTGGGCTTAGAAAAATATTTTTTTTCCTACTTTTTTTTTCTGATCAAATAAAAAATAAAATCAATATCAAAAGTAAGACAGCCAAAGAAGAAACATTTTAGCAACGTACACAGAGTCACAAAGGTTCAAAAGGCAAAGAGTCTCAGAGATAATGCAAGGCCCAACCTGCTCATAATCAGATTTCAAAATCAAGAAAAGGCTCAACAGAATCTTGATATATACAGGAAATAAAATAGTGCTCATTCATAATAACAAATAATGAGCTCCACAATATGCTTTAATTAAGTTAAGACATTAAATGTATTACACATATGTAAAGCTATGATTATAAAAAAATAACATTTATAACCAAATTTTTAAAATATAGATTTCATACACTTTAAATTAGTTAAGTTCAAACACTGTTATTTATAAATATACATTTATGATCTGTTAAAATTAGAGTTTAGATCTTTTGAATTACACTCATTTTCAATTTCTTTTAATCACTTTAATGAAACCTAAGATATAACTAATCACTTTTTTTTATCGCATGAAAATGGCTAGCATATGCCAGGGTGGCAGACAGCCAATCTTTCCAAGTGATATTGTGTCTTTAATTTGAATTCAATGGTTAAAACAAATTTAAAAATAAAAAAATTACAAAAATACTGTGTGCAATTTTTAACTAGACAGAAATGTGATTTCTGATAGAAAAATAAAACAATTATAAATGTACACAAAGCTATGATTCTTAACTAGAAGTTAAACTCACAGTAATTCTAACAAGCATTTCACTATTTCATTTCATCAAAACTTCTATATTAAGAAAGCGACAAAGGAAACAACAACACTGTTTTGTAGCAGCCTCCAGCTAGAAATTAGCTTTATCTATTGTTGACACTATTGTTCATCAGTCACTTTTAAATACATTCAATCAAGATCATTGATCTTATTGATATGCTAACATAAAATTTCATAATTATTCAAACAGATTGTGTGAATGATATACAATAACAAGCTACAAGTTAAAAGGAACTAAGTGCAATATTCTGTTGCCATGATGTGTAAAAAACACTGACCTAATCTCTTGAAAAAAAAGTAAAATGTACATGAGATCTTTTGAATAGGATAACCATAACATTAATGTACACCCATTTAAAGACTATGACTAATGGACCTGTAACTCAATGTGATGATCAAGATGAGGTCAGTGTCGCCTGGAAGCCTTCGCTTGTGGGACATTTCTCCTCCTGCCCATTAGAGTCTCTTCAAGATCTATAGTGTCAATGGCATCAAAGTAAGGATACACAGGAGAGCTAGGGTCAGACGAAGCCTCGGCTGTGATGTAATCCTCATCCAGCTCTGAGATCAGTGGTTCAAAGTTAGACATTGTGTACAAACTCCTGTTTCCCCTGTGACTTTTTTGAAGTGAGAAAAACAAACAAATGAAAGCTGGCTTGATTTATTTTCATTTTTGTGTGACATAATCAATATATCATTTACATCAAATCAAATTCAGATTTATCTGACCCAGAACAGATATAAATAGGCTATAAGATGTCAGAGATGGCCCTAACATAATTATTTCAATGCCGATTTTCAAAATACAGTATTCTCCATGAAACTAACTTTATATTACAATGACTTTATCTACAAATAGAAATACTGTGTTACAAATTATTATTAGTCTTATATTTTTAAAAGTTTAGTACCCATTTATAAAAACCATAACTTAAGACTTAGATCCCTCCCATGCCATTGGGTATATAGAGAGTGTAAGCTGTCTCCATTGAGATCATTCCCTAGCAATGCTATAGCTACATCCTCTTTGTAAATCTTTCATGAAGTTTAGACAGCATGAACCTGTGAACCTTGAATAATGTTCTATCCCAATTTAGTTCAGATCACACTTTCAATCTCTAAGTCTCATACTGATTATAAAAACAAAATTATTAAGTAAAACAGAAAACTTCTTGATTTCCTACACTTTTTTCTAATGTAATCGTAACATTTTCTTATGGGCTCTATTTGTTTCAAAACCGTATTTAAGTATAGTATAAGTATATGCCAGTATACTGCTGTGGAAATAAAATAATTGGCAGAAGGCTGGCAATCTGAACAAGAAGTCCTAATCAGTTATAAACAAATTTAATGTTAATGATAATGCCTTTCCAAGAGAAAAATAAAGGGACCATATCTATATGCCGCAGAAAAATGAAAAATAATAATCTTTTTTTGAAGAAACTTATAAGACAAGAAAAATGTAATGGAAAGAAATATGTGACTTGTATGCAAATAATAGAATATGCATCCTCTGTTTGGGACCCCTCAACTCAAAAACAGACACCAAATAGAGCAATGAGATTCATAACAAATGAATATTCACATTTGAATAGAGTAACACCCTTAGTATAATCACTAAATTTAGAAAGCCTTCAGGATAGGAAACTCAAAAGTAAAGTAGCAATTATACATAAAACACTGAACCATAATTTTCGAATACAAAAACAAAATCTAATAAAATACTCAGAGAGACACAAAGATAAAGGCACACTCCTCATTTCATATGCTAGGACAAATTTGTACAAATGCTCCTTCTTCCCTATTAGAGTATGGAATGGGTTGCCTGTGCTAGCCAGGAAAACCAGTGACTTGGCAGAATTTAGGTGATTGGTTAATATGCATGACGTGTAGGACGTAAGCATCTTCTTTTTTGAAGTAATGTCTGTATTATATAAGATAAGAAGATAAGATAATATTTTTTTCAATAATATTCCTTTTAAATGGTATGACTACTGACTAAAAAAAAAAAATGTTACTGCCAGATTTATCAATGGTCAGATTGATGTAGTTCAGGGATTGATGCTGATGTTGATTCTTTTATAAACAACTGTAAAAGGATAATCAGAACACTGCTGTTTAGAAAATGAGAAAGGTTCATATCAAATGGTCTCCCTTGTGTCACGAAAAACCAGACACGCAGACTATCAAAACATGGACAGCTGCCTAGTTATGCCATTGGAGTATGGAGACCGAACTGTCGTACGGTTCCTCTCAAAGTCCAGGGCTCATAAATATCCCACTGCTATCCCCAGTCTTTCCAGGAAAGTTTCAACTAGGATGTAGATTATCGTCACCTCCAAAAAAAGATCCAAAACATGTAAAACATTTTACAAACAAAACATTTTACAAAACAAACATTGACTTACATGTTATTGTTAGGGTCGTCTTTGCTCTTCACTGCAACGTTGTCACTCTGTAGAAGATGCTCTTCTTCATCTTTCACCTTTTTCAGTTCAGGGATGAACTGGGACATACTGGTAACAGTGTTACCCTCTTCTATGGCTGATAACTCTGGAATTCTGATATAACAAAATTATTTGCTTTAGATTGTTTTCATTTATTGGTTTACTGGAACAGCTAAACATTTAACTTATGAATAAATATAATTCATGCTGAAGTATTAAAAAAAACATACTACTTTTAAAAATTCATAAGAATCAAAACAAAATAATTTTTTTTATATGCAAAGACATTTTTAAGATTTTGCCAAAACAAAAATGCATTGAATAATATAAAAATAATTTCACATGAAATTCATGGATTATTTTCTTGAAAGTTGGCATTTATCTGGGAGCAAGTTCCATATCTTTTGGCTGGGTATGGGACTGGTCATAAAGTCAGTAGGTTTTTATATCAGAACATGGAAGAACCAACAAAGACAAATCCATGGAGGGATTTTTGTGAAAATATGATGAGATCAAATTCTTAAACTACAGTGAAGTACATGCATATAAATACACTATGTGATGATTATTTTTTAAAAAATGAAGTAAACACACAAAAATAAATATTGTTGCATGCACTGGCAGATTATTTTTGAATTAGAAAAGTGCATGTGCTTGAATGTGTTTTCATTTTCACTGTGATATGTGACATTGAAAGACAAATGTCATTTTGAAAGTGATATGTCATGTTGAAAGGTTATTTCATTTTCACTTTGATATGTGATTTCAAAAGACAAATGTCATATTCACTGTGATATGTGATGTTGAAAGACAAATGTCATATTCACTGTCATTTGTGATGTTAAAAGACAATGTCATTTTCACTGTGAGATGTGATAATGAAAATGATTCATCCAATTGTTGTTTTTTTCTTTAGTTTAAGTTTTTCATGCATTAAAAAGATCTTTTTTTATAAGCAGCAGATATCTAGAAAACGTTCATTTTATTTTTTTTTTCCAGGAGACTTCCCATTATATTCTCTCAAAGTTTGGTAAAAAGTGATGAGGATATCT